CAAGTTACAGGGCGCGACTCATACGCTTTTCATTAGGATGAGGATGAAGAAGGGCGCGTTCCATCATTGCACGTTATATAAGCCGTGCGCCTCGCGGGGGATGAATATAAATAAGAACATTAATAAAACCATAACCCGCGCGCGCGATATTCAACCAGCAAGGGCTACGTAGACGCTCCGGATATAAAAACCATTAAAAATTCGATGAATATCAATCAAATGTTAAAATTGCGATAATTACAAATGTATTCCAAGTATCAGACAAATTGATTTAACATAGTTAAGAAACGTGAAAGGGTTTAATCTAATTGCCAATGTATTAAGTAACCGTGAGCACAGACAACGGTTAAAAGCAGCGGTATAATCAAATATCGGGAATTAAATCGGGAGGTGATCAATCAGATCCAGAAAAGTTGAATCGAAGACAAATCCGAGGAAACTTGCGTTAGCATCTATCGGCTTTATGATCACGACTGACAATGAGACCATAACTCTGATTTAGTAAGTTAATCCCTTTAACGGAAACACGAACAGAGTCGAGGCACAACGCTCCCCTTTCCCTGTGCCCACCCCTTTTAATTAAGAGCGCAATCATTCCGTCGTAATCCAATACCGAACTCGCCCTGTCCATCGCAATTTCTCTGCGACTCGCCAGTCCTAAAGTTAAATTTCCCGTGAAATAAAAACACCGCCGCACAGTGTCGTTCGCTTGCCCTCCCCCTCCCCCCGCCATCCTTTTTCTCTCTTTCTCTCTCTCTCTCTCTCTCTCTCTTTCTCTCTCTCTCATGCACCCTCTCCCCGACCCGCCTTTCATTGGAAATCGCTTTTTAATCGCGTTCTCACAGAGCGCCAAACTTTCGCGCGCTTTTAAGTAGTAGAGCCGTTCGATTTATCCGCCATTTCAAAAAATACTTTTATTTAGTTTGCAATCCGAGCGTTATTTAGTGTAACGTGACTTCAAACGGCTGTACAACCGTTCTTGTCGCAGGCAGGGTGAACTGTTGTTAGGAGCAAGTTGTCGGGCACTTTATACCCTGTGAAAATGCATCCGGCTGGAATACCAAAGAACTCGCAGTTTCAGAGATTCGTAAATCCCTACGGATTTCACTTGACGTAAAATGAGAAAGGATCACAACGGTTGAATCGGTGCCGTTGTCATCAAAAGCAAAACAGAAGTAGTTTCGCGAAAAACTACCATACACATATATCCTGTGTGACAAAGAAAAGCTAAGCTTCTATAAATTTGAAAGCCTTAACATTTATTCGTATTTTAAAAAAGTGACGCAACTTAATATCATAGATATTTCTGTTACTTTTTGCCGAGTTACGAGTATTTAAGAGATGGTACAAAGCCACTTTGCGATCCCGCGAGAAGAGTCACGGCGGAGAGAGTTTCGAAAAATGGATCGTCTTACGGGTTCTCTTCGCGCTATTCGCCGCGACGGAAATCGAGCGATGCATTATACCTTTCGAAACGGGTAAAAATGCGAAGGGATCAAGCGTCCGAATTGCGCGTCAGCTGATTGAAAGGCGCCCGGTGACGTTGCCGAAAGGTGCCGCGCCACGCGACACCCTCGCCCGAAATATGAGGACATAAATTTTCGCTACGACGCTGACCTCCAAATGGCTGCCATTAAGCACCCCGAGATTCCCATTTCAACTTCCAAGTATCGAGATCATGATCGAGCGATCCTTAATGCCGCCCATACAAAAGAGGTGCCACGATCGGTAATCCGAACGCATCTATTTTTCTTGCTTTTACCGCGGCGCATACTCGATAATCTTCGATTCCCAGAGATTTCTTTTCTCAATCCGAAACGCATTTTGAAACAGAAACCAAATGGTAGATTTTACACAGAATTCCACTGGAAAAATGGAAATTACAAAACTCGAAAACCCACAAATTTAAAACGTTTGAAACGCACAAGGTAAGATAACTTTCGATCCTCAAAAGTATTTTCAAAGCACGAGGAGAAACCTCACAGGTGAACCGAGAAGTTCAACATTCGTAGATCTCGAGATTAAAGACTCGAGAAACTTTGCGCCAAAATTCGGCACCTGTGAGACTTCGCATTTAATGATCCGTAAAATTGAGGCAAACTCTCGTCCAAAAATATCTTCCAAAAGCAAAAACCGTAAATATCTCAAATATATCAAAATCTTTTCACTCTTTTCAAAAACGCACAAAGAGCTTAATTTTCTAAGAATGTAGAAACTTTCGCAAGATTCGGAGAAAAGAGAACTTTCTTCGTCTGTGATTAGAGAAAAGGTTTGCAGTTCTACTTATGTACATAATTACAGATAAATTTTCACGCGGAATTCCCGTAGGGGGTTATAAACTTCGTCTGAAATCGGTTTTACGAGCAACAGTTCGCGGGAACTGGAGGAGAGGGGGCGCGCCGCAATTAAACTAAGTATTGGCGGACGATGGTCGCCGCAGCGCGGGGCACGCACTTTCGGCGACGTGACTGGCGTTCGGGCCGATCTCGAAAGAATCGCGAGTCCATCCACGTAACATAAAATATAGTAAATCGGGCAGAGAGTAATGCCCGGCTCGTAAATAACATGACATATGTTCGTTGGAGGCACGGCTGGCATGTACGCGTAAATCTCCCCCCGCTGGTGCCGATCGATAAAACGCCGCGCTCGCGCCCGTTTGGAGCGCGTTTCGCCGACGGTGCGGCGGCCGCCGATCGATCGATCATTTGCTCCTAATAAATCGCGCGAGTGTTAACGAGTGCATTAGCGAGCGGATTTTTTTTTTTTGCCGTCGTCAAATTAGATACGCGCTTCGCGAATTTATACGGCATATTTTCACGCAAATTGGACGTAGTCATGCAATTTGAAACTCAAAGCCATATTTGCGCGATTTTTTCCTCCGTAGTGTGGTAAAATATTTGCTCTGCTTCGGTCGCGGTTTATGACACGACCAAATTATATAAACATTTTTCAAACAAAACTTTTTATAACCAAAAACTCTATAAAAGGTGATAAAATGTAAAAAACGAGATTTATTATTTTTTTTATAATTGCGTTAAGCTAACAAATCTGTAAATATGTCGCGCATGTTTAAAATTGCGTTAATCCGAGCAGATAGTTAATTATTTTTTTTTATTTCAGTTATTGTTTTTTTTTTTTTTTTACTTTTCTGTGTATTTCTAACGAAATAACCAACAAATCGTCCAAACGAATTTTTTTCCGTGAAACCTTCATCATTCCGTTTGAGGGAGTTTCAGCCGATTTTGCAATTATCGAAGAAATAGGGGGACAATTGCATTTGGCTGCGACAAATCGTCATATGCTAGGTGGACAGAGAAAGGCGAGAGAAGGGAGTGGGAACATCCCCGGAAGCGCAATATCAAGTTTCCACGCACGGTAATCCTGAACGGTTGTGCCGAAATCGTTTACTCGCTAAGAGATTGACGAGCGTCAAAATGTTGTCAAAAAAAAAAAACTAAAAAAAGTCGGAGTTTTGACCAAAAGTGCAAACATAGCGTTGCTCCGAAATTCAAAGTAATTAAAGGAACATTATAAAGTATGTGCTGATTTAATATCGGAAATGAATAATATATTAGTAGACACACCTGTCGATATTAATAAACAAAATTAATATCACGTACACCGAGATTGATGTTACCTCGAAAAACTTTCTATAATCGAGACAATATTTATTTGCTTGTTGACATATTTATAATAAGCAAATGATGTACGATATTAGAAAACGATATATTTACCGATCGTTCTTTTCACTTAGACATTATTTATTATCATTTGATCAACGTTTAAGCACGTTCTCTTAATGTTGTCAGTTATCGTTAATCGTGTCACGCATTGATTATTCAATAAACTTCGTTCACTAAACGTCAACATGATAAACAAACTCTAAAAGCTAAAATGATAATTAACCAAAATTAAACGGTATGTCGACTAACGGTAAGTCGAATAAATTTTATAATGCGTTTCGATCTTCTAGCAACAATATTTAAGCGCATCAATTATGCTTGCAATTGCGTTATTCAACTATTAATTTTGATCTGTCGTTATTTTGTTTGAGCCAAGACTAATTAATCTTTTGACGGACGTTGACGTTCGATTCGGCAAAATCGCAAATTCTGAATGAGTTCTACGAGCAACAACCTCTCCCTCCGTTCTCCGTGTCACTTCTGCGAAAGTTTTCCACAAGAAACCGTTCTGAGAACCTCTGTGCGCCGTCGTTAAAAGCATATAATTAAAATTGACGAGCAGCAATCACGAGTTAACAAGGCACCAACGCAAAACCACCCTCCTCTTGTCCTTTCTCCTTCGCCCACTCTCCTCGCGTTTTATACTAATAACGCTTGCTTCTCTCGATTGACGTTTCATTACGCAAAAGAAAAGTCGAAGAAAAGGAAGAGAAGAAAAAGATCTTTTCATGCGACTGAATTAAGTTCCCGGCAATGCGAAATGTTAATCAAGCTTGAAAGTTCCATCTGTTTTTGAAGTCAATGTTAACAAACTAACAAATACAACACGTCTAAATTATAAATTTACTTAACAATTTGTTCGTTTTTCCCATTTGTCGCGTTTCAATACCGCAACGCGCGATTTTGATCGATGACAAAAATGATTCTGTCTTTTTATCTCAAGTTGAAAAAAATTATAATAACTCCAGGAAAATTACAGCACACAGTCGCCGTATTGACGAATTCAACCGTTACAACCCCGCGTACTTTGCATGTACGAGTCATACGTACATACATACGAATTAGAGCGTGTTCTATTTCGTGCAATCAATTGCCGCTATATTACCGCGATACGTTGCACGTGCAATTTCTGTATTAGATTATGCGATCGTGTCGTGATTAATTGCAAGCTGCAGTTGTACGCGTAATTATTGCCCAGCGGAAAACAGATAGAAATATATACATATATATATATATATATATATATGTATAATATTATATACGTGCGTATACATATATGCAAGAAAGTACAATGCAATTTGTAATAAATCGACTTACCGAATCGCGGGCCGACTTCGGACATGCACAATCCACGCACTCAATTCGGTGAAATCGATCCCTCAGCCGTAAGAGTTTCGCTCCTATAAAAAGAAGAAAAAATCTTGTCTACAAAAAGCTGCGGAATAAAAACCTTTACTTTCCCAGAAACTTATGTATATCCGCGGTGGAATATGTTTGATTGAGTAATACATATTTTAAGATCGCTTTGTTTTCACAGCGACATTTATGCAAAAAAAAAAAAACAACACTCTGACGTATTCTCTGTCACTCTGTGATTCTCTGTCACTCTCTGTCTCTTTCTAATTAGAACAACGTAGAGAATAAAACAAGCAAATATGCGTAACGTGTAAGTTACCCTCGTGTGTTTTACGTTACATCGTTTACTCTTTTGCCCAATTCTTTGTGTTAACAGCCGTAAAACGATTCGCCTCGAAGTACTCGCTTCGACATAAATTCTCGTCGTTAATTGCGCCGTGTGCTCGCGCGAGTAATTTCAACTCGCCCGCTCGCCCCGGCCTGACGAAATAATATTCCGGCTAAATGGCGGCTCGTGAATCCCGGCCGAATGTGCGATAAAACCAATGCCGGCAACGTGTTTACAGTTTTACGAGGTGTCAGCGAAATGCGCGTCGAGAAAGAGAGAAAGAGAAAGAGAGAAATAGGAAGAGGGAGAGAGGGAAAAGAGAGAGAGAAAGTAAACGTTGCACTCCAGCGCAACATCATGAACTTATATGACACCCTCAACAACCTCTCTCACCACACAGTTCAGATCATTAACACTCTTTCAAACCACTTAAAACTTAAGGAGATTTGTGATTTTATCATTATTAAATTTTTTCGAGAATATTAGTTCAAGATCTCAAATAAAATAAAAAATGATAAGAATAATGATAAAAAAAAGACAAAATTGTCACGATTTAGAATGTCTTATACAATTTTTATGTACAACACGGTAATAATTAATACGCGTTATCGTAACCATGAAAAATTAAATAAGATTCGTTTAATTAATGATAGTAAATAAAATAGCCAACACTTTAAAAAGCTTTATCTGATACTGGAAAAGAACCGTAATTAATCAATGACGTGGTCGTTTAAAATCTAATCAATCTGTGGCGGAACATAAGTGAGAAAGAGTTTGCTTGTTCTTAAAAAAAAATAGTATAGATTTGAAACGTAATTAATTACAACTCTGCGCACAGCTCCGTGCTCTTCCTAGTTTCTGTCATCGCAAAATATAAAAAAAAACATATGCTCGCATATCTAAATCTAAATTATCAATGTTACAATTCAACTAATTAAGCCGCTAATTAGCTTAGTTAAACAGGCGATTAGCAGCAGCTGTTACATGACATCGGCACGTCTTGGCCAGTATTTGATGTCGCGGGTTACGATCCCTCTCCCATATCCCTCTCTCGTCAACCCTCCTTGACATTGCGTGTTTCCCCGGAGACTCTCTGAATGTCTGATTAACTTGGTATGAAATTATGTTCCTTTGCTCGGTCTCCTCTTGATACTTCACATCTACTTACGGGCTGACTAAGGACAATGAATGTAGTCAAACTGTTCAAATATTTCTCTCTGTAAGCTCTCAAAGATATAAAACTGTAAAGATATACTCATAGCTACAGTAATTTGATTTTTGACGTTATCTAAGAAGTTGAAAATTTAATCTTCTGTATGTGTAAGAGTCAAATTCTAAAAAAAAAGGAAGAAAATTGTATTTTTGCACAAAATTTTGTTATTTTACAAGAATAATGTGAAAGAGAGAGAGAGAGAGAGAGAGAGAGATACAAAGTTAAAAACATTCTAGAGATCCAAAACTTCAGAAAGTTTTAGCACACACAAAACAAGAAAGCGCACATCTCAAAAACGTGCACCGATCAATTTATTATCTCGAGTCCTTCGTCATTTTCCGAAGCTGTTCTTGACTTGACGTCAAATTCCTCAAGCCCTTCATCTCGTCTTTAACAGTTAGCAGTCTCATCTCTTCCCCGTTAACCACGTCGACTGCAAGACGCTACAGCTGCAGCTGCAGTTCTCGCGTGCATCCGCAAAGGGGGAAGAGGAAGAGAGGAAGGTTACAGAGGAGGATGGGTATGGCGTGGGATGATTGTGGGAGCGAGTATAGGAAGGGAGAGAGGGTGGATCGTACATACGCGGCCGGTGCATGCGGTAATGGCGGTGCATACGGTGTACCAGTCAAACGCATACCGTATTGATTTTAATATCTGCGTAGAAAGCAGAGAGAGAGAGGAACAGAGAGAGAGAGAGAGAGAGCGAGAGAGAGAAGAAAGAAAAAGAAGAAAAGACAGAAGAAGGAAAAAATAAAGAAGAGAAATACAGAGAAAGAGGAAGCTTTTTCACGCGTCGTTAAGGCACCTGTGGCTGATGCACTAAAAGTGCATCAGCATTTCGCACGCGTATTAAGACACACATCGCCAAGTTTATTCAAGTCGGTTTATCGGTTAAATCTTTGCGCGCGCTCACAGCGCACGACTCGAAATGAACGCTTTCTATGCTACCATATGCTAATATCCTTTCGTAATGACGTGTTCATTAAAGTGCAGCTTGAGCACTCTGACATCGAGGTGGTCACGAACGAGATTTCGAAAGTAAACGCGATTTTTTGATTATTGAAGAAAACAATCGGCCAATAAAGAATGTGGAATATTTTAAATATTGTTCTATTGCGCGTATGCGAAATTTGATGCAAAATAACTATCTGGACATCGAGAGGAATTAACTCGCTTATTTGATTAAAAATTCACTCGTTTATGAAACTAATTTCCAAAACGCGCTAACGCGAGGGAGGTACGTTGAATGACGAACGCACTAATGGTAAGTGACAGTGGCTAATTAATTAGTATCGAATGTTCGGTGCAGCAAGAGTGATTAAACACACCACCTGAAAATCCTAATCGCTGGCAAATTAGTCAGAACGAGGTAATAACAACGGATGCGCTAATCTTTTAATAATTTGCACGTATAAATAAAACCGTGTTAGCGTGATGAAAAGAATGCACACCATTTTCCATAAAAAGATAAAACTATTTTTCTAGGAAAATATCAATTACAATTCTAAATTACTGTGTGAAATTCCATGAAACTATTGTACCGAGAGTGTTTAACCTCAATCTATCCGAATGGATTAAATTCAGAATATAACGCAGTTCGAAATAACGAGAGAAGAGAAGAAACAACCCCCTTGATATGCCACCGTTACTCGTAACAATAACAAAACTAGTTATAAAGATCGAAGTATAAAGGGATTAAAGTGGATGCAGCTCGTTCCGCTTTTATCGGTGAATTGATCACAACTTAATTGAATTTAAAGCACACTACGTATCTACCAAGCAGTCCAAACCTGGCCTTACAAAAGGCACTCATCCGGAATAATAATCCGCGTAGCTTTTATATTACAATGATTATTTACTTAAAGCCAATTGTACTGATAATATATAGCAAAATGCTCAACAATTAAATTGTTGAAATTAATTCAATTAAGACTGAGATTATGCGACTTTGTTCTCACTAACAATTGACAGCGGGCTATTGATTTCGCTTGATTGCGCTCGTAGAATGTGTTTTTGGTACTTAAGTGAAATTGTGAGCAAAGATAATTATCATTTACCTATCATCCGCATGTATGATACGATACGTTTATACAGAATAAAAATTGAAACCAAAAACAGGAAAGATCGAATAAATATCCGATATTTTCTACATTTTGTGTAAATGTTGATAGATATGATAAAGTAAATATTAATAACGTGTACGCGCGTACTAAATATATAAACCGAAATTCACACGGTAATTTATTCATTAGATTTAATACGTTAATACGTTTATTTTTGTAGATATTCATAAAATACCGTAACAAAACAAACAGCAATAAATACAAAATGTGCGAAAATAAAACATTTAACAATATATATTCGTTCAATTTGGATTTCGATTTCAGTAAATATTATATGCGCATTTTGATGAATGAGAGAGGTCGCTTCATCTCCTGCTTCATCCTGCCACCCCTTTTCATTCGCGCTAAGTATATACACAACATTTCCCAAAACATCCCACATCGGACTTCCTCTCCTCCATCCCCCTGAGAACCCGTCTACGAGACACAAGCCGTTGCTGCTGGTAGGACAAGGGGGTGGCAGAGAAGAGGCGGTAGATACGGAAGTTCCTTCTTTGTCGGCCAGGGAGTCGAATGGCGAACAGACGGACGGGTTAAATTTGCATGGACGCTTGTCTGCGTTTCCAATTTCACGCATGCACACATCCAACGGTATTGGGAACGTGGATGAGGGCGCGGGAACGGGCGCGAGACTGATAATAAACGGCGCCGATTTCGGCATAAATCAAGGCCGCGAATCCCGACGCGCATCTTCGCGGGCTGGAGGAAAAAAAAGCGATGGGGAGAGAGCGAGAGAGAAGTCGGTCCATCGACAACGGCCAAATTAATCCGGTAAGGTTAAACAAGCGGAAACCATCCTCTCCCCTACAAACCCCATTCCCTCTTGCGGCAGCGAATTCCCACAACAAACCGCTCGAATTTCCTGTTGCATTTGCATGTGTTATTATTACTATTGTTTAATACACACGAGTGTGCCGGAGTTGTTTGATTTAATGCAAATTTGTTTCACGGCAAAAATGTAAATAAGACAATTTTCTCGACGGAAGACACAGACAAATTAAATTTTCAAAGCTGCAAATATAGAGCAAAAAGAGCTAAAAAAAATACATATTTGTTAAACAATCAAATAGTCGAACAACACTTAGAGAAATGTACTGTAAAAATGTACAAAACATTCAAAATTGTTTTTCATGTCGAGTGTATTTGTTTCAAATACATGTACATGTGCGAGTTGGTACTTCAGATTTTTATACATCGTTAAAAGGTTTAAACCGGCCGCCATGTTGAATCCTGAATTGATAACGATCTGCAATCGTATGCAGTATAACTAAAACACACGCGTGATTTTTTGACATATCGATTGCCATAATCGGCTTAGTCGTTCAGTTGCTATGCAGTGGACCATATGTATGTACGTGTGCGCGCCCGTACGTGTGTATG